CTTGTCATTATCCTCCCTTGTATTTATCCATATGTTGTAGTTATCCTAATCATTATAGGATTAGGATAATCATCCCCTTTATTGTTGTAATCCTTATCTCCTAAGGAATATGCTTATTCTCTTGTATGTATATATATGTATGTGCACGTGATGAATAAGACAATGAGAGTTACAACCTTCTTCTTTATTCTTTAACAAAAAGGAAATAATCAAAACCATCCAACTTTCTTCAGAGTATTCACAGAACAATATACAGACACGTCAACAAGAGTATCAACACTGTCGCTGATCTTCTCATCGCTTCACTACCTGAAGAATCTGACTTGATCATTATCTTGAACTTACAACTCCCAACAGAAGGATCACTCGTAGTAACCACAGACAACCCCGGAAACTTACATGCACTATCAAGCTGATCACTCACCTGGTAATAGCTATTAAACGCATACGAAACATTCTTCGCTAGATCCAAGTTACCACAAGAGGAACCATACCCAAGACTAGTACAATCAGCATGATCACAAGCATAACTCACACTTGGTCCAAGTTGAGGATCCTGAAGATTAGCTGATGGAGCAAGAACACACCATTTCTTCGCCATATGATGCACACCCTTCGCAGGAATCAACCCATTAGCATTTCCAAGACTCAACTGATACTTAGGCTGTCCATCAATGTAAAAAATCCCCCAATGTCTTTCAAAGTTCCCTGGCTGTATACTCTTAGCATCTTCATCTATAAGACTAAACAAGTAAGCATCCATTGCTCCTGGTCTCATAGGTGTTCCTCTCCCAGCTTTTTGACGGTTCATAAACCCTTGATTATACCTCCTCGCGTACTGCATATTCGCGTTCTTATCTCCATCCGTAGGCCACCCAACTTCACCAACAATAATAGACATGTTACCAAACCCGTTCTTCTGCAAAGACCAGACCAGTGTATCGTAGTTTGCATCAAGAACATTGTCGTAGATTCTCCCGTTGTCATTAACAGGAGAGCCTGTTCCATCAAAGAAGGCGAACTCCACAGGGAAGTGAGGGTCGTTGTAGAGACTTATGAAAGGGTAGATGTTGATAGTGAAGGGAGCTTGGTTATCACTTAGAAACTTGACTATACTGATCATGAGATCGCGTATTTCAGCTCTGAAGTCTCCATCAGACGGTAGGTTAGAAGCACTTTCGTACACGTCAGCGTTGAGGGGGACTGTGACTTTCACCTGATTCGCTAAACCAGCTTTGATGAGAGCTGATTGTATGTTCTGAAGAGCAGGGAGTGTTATACTCTCAAATGTTCCGTTAAATGACTTCAAGAAAGGCTCGTTCCCAACAGCCACATACCTAAATTTATATTCAAAGTTTCTAACTTTACTCATCAAAATCTTAAAGAGTGAAGCTTTTTAGGAGATGAGTACAAACCTGATATCAACGCCGTTGGAGGAGACATGAGCAGAGACGTTTTGAGAGACCCATCTCTCTGCAACTGCAACGCTTCCGGCAATAGGAGCAAGTAAGTCGTTAGGGATTCCGACCATGACCTGAATCCCTGACCGACTTAAGGCTCTGAGAATCTGTGAGTCGGCTTCGAAAAGTTTCACCTTTCGGATTCCGTTGTCCTGGAGAAGCTTCACCACGGTTGCTGGAGGGAGAGGATGACTTGCCTGTGAGCCCCAGTTCACACCGATCCCTTCAGCTTCGGTAAACAAGTTACCGTACAAGAAAATGATTACGAAAGAGACAGCAAAAACACTTTTGGACAACATCAGGAACAACAAAAGACCAAAAAAAAGTATACACCCAAGAACAACAACAACAAAAAATCTGAACTTTTTGGATTAAAAAAGCTCAGATGTGTGAATCAGTGAAGTTGGAAGCTTGAGTTTGAAGAACAGAGCTTGGTTTTAGCTGTTGAAATCACCTGAGTATACTATATATTATTGTTTTTTTTCTTTTAATACTACTCTAAGGTGAGATTTGGACAAGAAGAAGCAAGAAGTTTCAAGAATTAAAAATGAAACTCGGTGAAGTAACACGAAACTTGAGAATGTTTTGTTCTCTCTCTCTCTCTCTTTTTTTGTTGTTGTTGCGCAAACCGAACATTAAATTAGGAGAATGCCTTTTTTATTGGAGTCTGTCCCAATGTCTGATAGGTGTGTTGATTGGTACACTAATCTTAAATTAGCAGTTTATTATGTTAAGTTTAAAAATAAGAATAAAGAAACTTAAAGAGAGACATTTTAATGTTTTTGTTTCCACTAAGGTGTTGGTTTGATTACAGTATATCAATTAATTTTAAAAACTTTAGTTGATTTAAAATATGTTACTTTTATCTAGTACCAAATTTGATAGACTGGAAAGTATATAATACAAACTAAAATTGATGCTTTATAAATTTTGATAGTATTATTTTTATAGACTATTGGTTGTATTTTTGTACTGCTATATATAACAAAAAAATGTATATAGATAATAAGATTTTGTTTGATGTGAGGCAGGGGCATGTGGATGAGGTCAAGCAGAGGTGTAAGGCGAAAAAAGAAGAAAAAAGAATCTTTAAAAGATTGAGGAGCAGTGTTACGTGATGCTCCTTGGAATTAAAGTGAATGATAGTATATGAAGAAAAAAAAAATTCTTTTGTCAAAAGAAATTGTGAAACGGAGAGTGAAAGAGGTCGGCAGGTACGGTTGGTGAAGGAACATTTATTCTTCTCATTCAAGCGGTTCTCGTTTTTTCCTCCTTATATTATTATGGAGCCCATTTTTCGGCCCATTCAATTAAGTTGCAATTTGTAACCATCTCTTTGCTTTCTGAAAAATAAAATATTGCATGTGGGTGTTGTAAATAGAACCGAATCACTCTAGATAAAAATTTCACTAACTTTAAATTGATTTCGAGAATTCATAAAAGCTAATATGATGGTATAGGTTCAACAACACATGATACCTCAATCGAACTAGAATTAAGCTGATTTGAAATTGCAAACCATCCCAATATTTATATTATAATATTAATTATGTTAGAAATTCCATATCCAAATTGGAATGAGAGCTAAATCATGTTTATATGAGTTTTTTTAGTGAGTTTTTTAGTGTATGGGTCCCTACACAATTTTTAAGTATCAGTTGCAAAAACTATTATTTAAAAATTGATTTTAGTGAAATTTTTATAATGTTCACGGATCTTATTAACACATGGTGCTCTGCGATTGATTTGTTCTTTTACTTTTTATTTTTCTAAAAAAAAAATCTAAGTCTTTGGGATAAACATAGTCTGAAAACATTTAAAGGACATGCATAGAAGACCATGAAATATGATGATGATCTCATTTTCCATTTTTATTTTTTTATTTTTATTTAACTGCATATTCAGGTCGAAGAAGTATAAGGTTTATTTTATTTGGTGAGGTACTGTGAAATATTGAAGCACTGAACAACAAATCTAAAACTACCACTTGGATAGAGAACCATTATAACAAGTCAGGAAGGTAACGAATCATTTTCGATGTTTTATAAATGGAAGAACTATGCAACGTAGACTGTTCAATGGTGGACATATGTTCACCGACGTTTCTTCATTCTCAACCACAATATCAGTCATCAAATTTCTGATCTCTCCGCTAAAGTAATGCTTTCAATTCTTACACGTGGGAGCTAGAAAACCCTACTCAGTTCCATAACTTTAATCAATAAGCGAAAACAACACAATACTTGTAAAGAAGACAAGTATTATTTATAATTTTATATAACTAGTGTATGTGTTCGCATTATTTTTTTTTGGATAGTGTGATGTGTAACAAGTGAATGACATAGAGCATCATCACACGTCGGTCGATTGGTGAGAGAACTGGTGTGAAACTGAAAAGCTGGTTCGACTTTTGGATAGCGAGATTCAACCTGCGCCACGGTATGATTAAGAAAGCTCCGAAATATATATGATTTCTAGTATTTATCTTTTAATTTGATTGGTTTAACCAAGCAAAAAAAAAAACGAAATAAGTCAAACCAAAATCATTTTAATCCACTCAATCGTAGGTTATACAAACTTTTGCAATCTTGCAAGAGAAAGCAAAAGAGCTGTCATCTTTTCCGGGGGACAACAAAAGCCCATAATTTTTTTTTTCAAAAATAATTATACTCATATAATCAAGAGTGTACATAGAAAGTGACCGGTTGGTTTGATTTGAACATAATTCTCCAGGATTAAAAGCATCATTAAAAATGAAATAATGATTCAGATGAAAAGAGGGAAGTGATAAGGGACAAGTAAAAGGTCGAGGGGTGTGGACCGTCAACCGTGTGGTGGCCAATTCTGGTCGGTGAACTGTTACTTTTTGTGTAATTATGGTCGGATAACGCATCCAACGATCCTGATTCCTTTTTCTTTGATATATAACCATGTTGAATAAAGTTAATCCTTTTGGATGTCAGAAAGTTCAGGATACATAGTTATATCTCAAAAACAACAATGGTTACTTCTAATTGCAAAAATACAATAATAATGAATGAATGAAATAGAGATGGTCCTGTAGAGTTACATAACAAGAGTAACATTTAATGGATATGAAAAGAATAGGAGTAAAGATTGTTTTCTTTTGCTAAGGTTGCCGATTTCACCTCCCAAATCGTCCCGATATTAACACGTTATTCCGAAGATATATGGTTTGTGTTCCCGCGAATTTGGCTCAAACGCGTTAACAACTTCCTCTTGATTGACTCATTGGGTTTCTAATTGGGCCTAAATTTGACGAGTTCTTTTATTATTTCGGCTGTTTGGAATGAAGCCCAATACCAACATTCAGAGGCAGATAAATATCGAATCTTTTCGTTATAATCTGCCATATAAAAAGGTCAACAAGAATCTTTCTTTGTCACTCGTGAACGCGGAGACTTTTTAGGGATCATCCGAATTCTCAGTGCAACTTGACAAGTTATCATCATCTTCTTCTCCCAAATCACAATCAAACCAAACCACATCCTCTGATCGCCAGATTCGTCGTCTCTGTAAGTGTTCTTTGGCGGAAATTGCCCCTGTGTGTTTTTCTCTTTGGGGGAAATTGAATTTTTATATCTATTTGATCCGATATATAGGAGAGGAAAAAAGATGGCGGTTACTATGAAACAGATGTCGTTGATCGTCTCTTTGTTTGGCGTCTTGTCGTTTATTCTTGGAGTCATCGCCGAGAACAAGAAGGTAAGTCGTCTCCTTTTGATTGTTATCGTCTAATCTTCCTCATAATACTTTGAATGTTGCTGAATATCCGGAAGTTAGATTTGGTCGTATCACATTAAGCTCACTCCATAATTGTATTGAATCGTATCATACAATTGACCAAGCAGTACACTTGTTACAACTTCATAATTATATATCTAACGATGGAGAAACTATCTTAATTTCTTGTTTGTTGTTTAAGCTATTATTTGTTCATTTTACTGAATGAAATATGTAGTTTTGTATGACCGGTAAACAGTGATCTTTGTCTCAGCTCCATAACAATGTATCTAATGATAGGGAAGCCAATTGTCTCATCTTAGTTTGGATTATTTACTGAAACCATAGCGAAATCTACATTTTTCTTTCTACACCATTGTTTGACCGTCTCTCTAGGCTTTCTCTTTTGAAATTGTTCTCTAATTATGAGATTTTTTTTTTTTTTAAAATCTTAGCCTGCATCTGGGACTCCAATAAACGGAAAGGGAGTAGTTATTTGCAAATATCCATCCGATCCAACTGTTGCCTTGGGTTACCTTTCTGCTGCCTTTCTCCTTGCCTGCACCGTAGCTGGTTACAAGTCTTTGTTCATGTCTTACAAGGGACGGTCTGTTCCCCACTCGGTCTTGTTCAAGAGCACCAGCTTCTCTGTCTTCTTCAACATTGCCTTGTAAGCATTTTCTCTCCTTTTTATAATTTTAATTTTAGTTTCAGCTATACATATTTGAACCCTAGTCATTGGTTTTGGTTATGTGAACAGAGATGTTTGTTGCCTATGGTTTTGTTTTGTAGAATTACTTCCGGACTAGCGTTGTCTCTGTTGCTATGGCCAACAATTACAGAGCAACTACACTTGACTCGCAATGTACACCGCAACTTAGAGACCAGTTGCCCCACAGCTAAGACCGGTCTCCTTGGTGGAGGTGCCTTTGTGTCACTGGACTCGTGTCTTTTCTGGTTGGTAGCTCTGATGCTCGCTGATAACGCCCGTGAAGACCATTTTGATGAAGCTGATAACAGAAACGGCGATGGAAACTCTTCCTCCAGGGATGTTAATCTCAAGATTGATGCTTGAGAAAATAATCTGCATCCGCTTACTGGTATTGGAGTGTACTAAGGTGTTTTTATTCTACTGCTTGTTTGCTTAGGAAAATACAAATAGTTTCTTCTATGAATTGCTTCTGAGCAGCTTAATGCCTCAAAAGTTGTATATGTCACTCAGATTCTTGATTAAATAATCTTTGGATTTGGTTTTATCTCTTGTTGTTAAAACAAAATAAAATCTACTAGTTTGGGTTAAAATACATTCATCTACGCCGTGTATTATGCCATCTCGATAACTAATAGTCCAATAGTATAAAACGTTTATGGGCCAACACGTGGTATAACATAAAGCCCAATATAAAAGCTCGATATAAGCCTAAAACCATTCAAAAACCCTTTTGGCTTCCTTCCTAGTTTGGCTCGTGCAAAGAATTCACTTTCCATCTGCGATTCATTCCGTCACTGCTCCTTGTTAGCTCGAAAGAGAGAAGAGATGCCACTCGGAGAGAGAGGAGGGTGGGAGAGGAGTGAGTCCAGATTCTGCGGCGTTGAGACTGAATTCTCCGACGATGTTCCTTCTCTTCTCTCCTTCAACATCTCCACAGGCGGCTTTGACTATGTCCTTGCTCCTCTGGTTCGTTTCTTTCTTCCCATCACTCTCACGCCCTTGTCTCATATGTTTCTAAAAGAGTTTCCTTTTCGCTCTTTGTGTAATGTTGTTATTACTCAGATGGACCCTTTGTATAGACCGAGCTTAGTTGAAGCAAACGGTGGTTCGGAGACTCAGGTGCTTCCGTTTTCTGGCTCTGACTTAGTCTTGTCACCTTCTCAGTGGAGCAGTCATGTCGTTGGTATGTTTCTCTTTACTTCTCTCTAGATAGATTCTCTAGTGTTGGTTTTGAAATAACCAATTTTAATTATTTGGTTAATTCTCATTTTTTCTAGGAAAAATTAGTTCGTGGATTGACTTGGATTCTGAAGATGAGGTCTTACGAATGGATTCGGAAACCACATTGAAGCAAGAAATAGCCTGGGCCACACATCTCTCCTTACAGGTCTTTATGACTCCTTAAATTGAAGTTAATTGAAAATCGCGTGTAGCTAATGTTTGTTATATGTTGCAGGCGTGTCTTCTTCCTACTCCTAAAGGGACCTCGTGTGCTAATTATGCTAGATGTGTTAACCAGATCTTACAAGGGCTGACTACCTTGCAGGTTGTTTAGGATTTTCTTTCTGTCAAGTTTTATTGAAGATGAGACTTTTGTGTACAAGCAAATCTTCAATCAATCTCTAACATTTTATTTCCTTCTTCGTCTTTTGTTTTAATGTTATTCTGCAATGAAGTTATGGCTGAGGGTTCCGCTGGTTAAGTCTGATGGTGATTCAGTGGATGCTACCTCAGAGGGTCTGGTAAGTCGATGGACCAAAGTTGATGCAAAATTTTAGTTCGTTCTTAGTTTCTGTGCCTTCTCAGATTTCTGAGGCTGCGTGTAGACGTCTATATGCCTTTCACATCTATAAATACAAATGAATGTTCTTAGCAGTTCATGTTGTTTGTAGGTTTTTTTTTTATTGTCTTAGTGGCTTTAATATATATTCCTTTTGTGCAGACTGATTCCTGGGAACTGTGGAATTCATTTCGTCTTCTTTGTGAGCATGACAGTAAGCTGTCTGTTGCTCTTGATGTCATGTGAGTTGAGAGAAACTCTTGATTGGTTTTTGTTAATTTGTACTGAAAATGTTTTTCCTCTCCCTAAACGTAACACCATGTCTCTTTTCTAGGAGTACACTACCCTCTGAAACTTCACTTGGACGCTGGATGGGGGAGTCTGTTAGGGCAGCAATCATAAGCACTGATGTAAGTGCCTCACCCATTTTACCACATCGTTATAACTTGATTTTGAAGTGCTGAAATTTTTTAATAATGCTTCTACTTTGGGTTTGCAGTCGTTTTTAACAAATGCTCGAGGTTTTCCTTGCTTGTCAAAACGCCACCAAAAGCTAATAGCAGGATTTTTTGATCATGCTGTCCAGGTTCGTTGAGCATTAAATTTAAGTGTCAAGATTATGTACTGTGATTCTGTGATAGGAATCCTCTGCTGATTTAGAAAAATATATCTATTTCTCTCATCCTAGGGTTCATTATCACCAATCCTGTAATTGCAGGTTGTAGTTTCTGGAAAGCCTGTTCATAATCTTCCAAAGGCTTCTGATTCTAACACTGAGGGTAATATTCTGTATTTTATTTTGTCCGCTAATAGTTAGATGTTTTCCTCTGGGCTTTTTACTTCTTTCTCCGTATCTCTATCTTTAATTGGCTTCGTCTATAAGCAAAGGCGTTCCAATATCTTGAACAAATCAATTTGTAATTTTGTATATAGGGTTGTCTTTTTTGAATGAAAATATATAAGGTTGTCTTTTGATAAGTTTCAATGATTTGGGTTCTCAGATACGCAGAGGCATCCCCTGCGGTCATATTTAGACTATGTTGCTTATCTGTTCCAGAAAATGGAACCACTTCCTGAACAGGAACGCATAGAGGTCGTTTGCTGGATCCTTTGTCTCAGTTCTTTCAAATTTTTTGATCACAAGAGTTGCAAGCAGGCAGAACCAATCTCAATTCTAACAGTTCTTTTATTCCTTTTACAGCTTGGCTACAGGGATTTTTTGCAGGCACCCCTGCAGGTTAGTCTCTGTCATCATTAATACTGATTTCCGTCGGTTCATCAGAATACTTTTGTCATGAAAATGCTTTATTCTTACTGTAAAGAGTTTCTACTGTTTTTTAAATACAGCCTCTGATGGATAACCTTGAAGCCCAAACCTATGAGACGTTTGAGAGAGACTCCATTAAATACATCCAAGTATGTTGCTTATTCTAGATTTATTTCTTTCACATCTTAAATTTTAACGCCTCTGTTTTCTGGACTACCCTTCTATTTCTGCTTTGGTTTGCGGAAGAAGGATACTGATGGATTATTTTTTTATACAACTGAATACCATTATCACTATTTTACGTGATTGGAATTTATGTCATGCCTATCTGTTTTCCATCTGTGTGTTACTAGTATCAAAGGGCAGTTGCTAAAGCCTTGGTGGACAGGGTCCCTGATGAAAAATCGTCTGAGTTAACTACTGTATGTCACCTGTCAATATTTTCCTTTCATAGGTTACATGTGGCGTTTTCATTTATAAGTTTTCGTAGGTCTTGATGGTTGTGGGAGCTGGAAGAGGACCCCTTGTAAGGGCATCGTTGCAGGTAAAGTTCTGATGCAGTTCTCTGCTAATCACAATGGAGACTTTTAAATTCGTTTTAATTGATCGATTGTGTTCATTGGTTTCTTATCCCAGGCAGCTGAAGAAACTGGCCGCAAGATGAAAGTTTATGCTGTCGAAAAGAACCCTAATGCAGTTGTAACGCTTCATGTAAGTTGTCAGCAACTGGTTCAGTTGAAACATTGCTAAGTTTTATGTTGTTTCTTTCGGACGTGCAGAGCGTTTTATTAACTCATAGAGCATTGTTATCTTATCTGTCAGAATTTGGTTAAGATGGAAGGGTGGGAAGGCGTTGTTACGATAATATCATGCGACATGCGTTTTTGGAGTGCTCCTGAGAAAGCTGATATATTGGTCAGTAAAAATAAATTTGGGTATCTATTACTCATGCCGACATTTATACAGCTCATCTAACTCTCGTTTGCCTCTGGTCTTCAGGTTAGCGAACTGCTGGGCTCTTTTGGAGACAATGAACTCTCTCCTGAGTGTCTTGATGGAGCCCAAAGGTTTCTGAAGCCAGATGGAATTTCAATACCATCCTCGTACGTGTACCCCTTCACCAAGTCTAATTTCTATAAGAAAACTATACTCTAATAGCTGCCTAGCCTAGTTTTAAGCTTGAAGGACATTACATCTGTTCTTCTGTTTCTCTAATTTGAGTAATCATTGTTACTTTTGTAGGTATACAAGTTTTATACAACCTGTAACAGCTTCAAAGCTTTACAATGACGTAGGTCCTTCTGGTTTCTGCTTTGTACTCTTTTTCTCAAAAACTTTCGGTTCAGCTTAGTTTTTTTCACTGATTGGCAGGTTAAGGCTCAGAAAGATCTTGCGCACTTTGAAACTGCTTATGTCGTCAAACTGCACAGTGTAGCTAAACTTGCTCCTTCCCAATCTGTGAGTCTCTCTGTCTCCAGGATCGCTTAATAGCTTATAGTGCTCCTTTGAATACATTTATGCAAATCTTGTGGATCTCTTGACCTCAGAGCTGTTTTTGTTTTGGTCTCAATTAGGTTTTCACATTTACTCACCCAAACTTCTCAACAAAAGCCAACAACCAACGCTACAAAAAGCTTGAGTTCAATCTACCAAGGGATGCTGGCTCAGCCTTGGTGCATGGTACAAGCTTTTCTAGTCTTGTGTCTGTTAAAATGGAAATATGCTAAACCTGAGACTAACTTGCTGTGATTTATACGTAACAAAACAGGATTCGCTGGCTATTTTGATTCCGTCCTGTATAAAGATGTTCATCTTGGAATCGAGCCTACAACAGCAACACCAAACATGTTTAGCTGGTAATGGCTTAATGTTTAATATGCCATTAAACGGATGAACAGCTCTCTCTCCTATCGATATAATATCATGTTCCTTTTTGCAGGTTCCCAATTTTTTTCCCATTGAGGAAGCCTGTGGAGGTCCACCCTGATTCTCCATTAGAAGTACATTTTTGGAGGTGTTGTGGTTCCTCAAAGGTAAAAAAATAAATGTTTAAACCATAACGATTCTAGTAATGTACACAACTGGCTATCTAATCTTGAGAACCATTAATGATCCTGTGATATTTGGGTTCAGGTTTGGTATGAATGGTCGGTGTCTTCTCCTACTCCATCTCCGATGCACAACACTAATGGCCGTTCCTACTGGGTTGGCCTTTAGGATCAGAGGATACTGAGAAGAGTCTTGGACTGATGTAATTTTATTGCGCTGCATTTTTATGTCAAACAAAAGACGAAAGTTTATAACTGAATCAAATCTCTTTTGACCTTATGAGCGCAGTGAATTTTTGTTTTGTAACCACAGTTAATTTACAGTGACATATGCTAACATACGAAAACACGTATACATGATAATCATCTTTGTTAAAACAGATAAGAGTGTTTGCACATCAATCATAAGCTGATTACAACATTCATCACATTAAGACTTTTATTACCATCTATCACATGGACAACATTCATCACATCAACATTCATGACATCATAAATATTTTAGCAAAATCATCAAGTCTACGTAGTTGAATCTGATTGAGTCAGTCACCATGTGGTACGTGGAAACAATGGTTCAAGAAGATGAATTCATTAACCGTTATGCATATTACAGTTTCCACAAATGAGTGCAAATGACTTCGATTCCTCAGCCCTCATGATTGGCTAAGCTCCATGCCATTGCTCTTGCAATATTCAGGTATGGATGCTTGCCAGCGTGGCGTTAAACAGAATGAACTCCAACTGCCACGTTAACATTCCAAGTTCCAACTTTCTATTCATCATACTAAGACCAATCTTCGAACACAAGTCACTATCCACAACCTATAAATGATAGCTGTTGAAAGACCAGTACTTGCTTGATCAAAGTAGTACAAGGTAAAAAAAACCGGCAGCAAAACATTAGTTTACTTTTTTTTTTTTCACTAAGAAAGTAAAGAGAATGAAAATATAATAAACGCCAAATACGTATAACAATTATTATATAGAAACCGAATGCATAAAAACAAAATGTCAACACAAATTACAAGTACATTATCTCAAACATACACATAATAATACAAACTCAAATCATTTAAATCTTGAACCGAAACTCACACTTGCAAATTTGTTACCAAACGTTTTCAGGATGATCATCATCACATTTATTCACCATTTCTCTAAAAACCGATAGACTCACCATGTGGGACGACGAGGAAACAATGGTTCAGCATCTGAAGAAGAAGGCGAGGCCGCAACACTGAAGGCTGGAGCAGTCACACCAACTCTCAAAGAATCTCCCTTGTTTATCATATTCCTAACTTCTTCTTTCTCCTCTTCATCTTCTTCATCAAGGTGAATCTGCTGCACCTGTGAATCCTCTGGAGAAGTGAAAATTCTCTCCAACTCAGTAAAAACTTCTCTCATATTTGGTCGTTTATTTCCTTTCGAGCTCAAGCACTTCATCGCCAGCTTTGCCACAGCCATTACTTGTTCCAATTTGCAATCCTCTTTTATTCGAGCATCCACAATATCAAAAAGTCTCTTCTCCTTCATGGCGAGTCTGAAATGATCTGCCAAGCTTACTGTTCCTCGAGTGTTCCCCACCATTATGACAGGCTTCTCTCCAGTAATAAGTTCCGCTAGGACGACCCCAAAGCTGTAAACATCGCTCTTGTCTGTAAACTGGCTGGAGCGGTAATACTCTGAATCTAGATACCCAACCGTACCTGAAACAACGGTCGTCCAGTGAGTTTGATCTATAGTTATTGACCTTGATGTTCCAAAATCAGCCACCTTGGCTCGGTACTTCTCATCTAGTAATATGTTTGTTGACTTGATATCTCTGTGATAAATCGCAGAGCTTGCAGAAGAATGAAGATAAGATAGAGCTCCCGCGACGTCGACCGCCATGCGTAGACGCATTCCCCATATCATAGTGTAGTCATCTGACTCTTCATGAATATGCTGGAAAAGGTTTCCGTTGAGGATAAACTCATAAACCAAGATAGGAACTTCTGTCTCAAGACAACATCCCAAGAGTTTGACAATGTGTCTGTGGTTGATCTGGGAGAGAATCACCACCTCGTTGATGAACTCTTGTAGTTTGTCTTCATCTATAACTTTGGATTTCTTGACTGCAACTGTTCTACCATCTACCAGCATACCTTTGTACACAGTGCCTTGGCCTCCCTGTCCAATAACTCTGTTTTGGCTGAACTTTTCAGTGGCTTTTTCCAGCTCTCTGGAGGTGAAGATTCTCGTCTTTTCGACATTACCATCGCTTGTGTTTAGTTCTTGTTGCAACAGTAATCCCCCATTACGTTTAAAGAACTTCTGCTTCCTCTTTTCTATCCTTCTCTTTATTAGAAACTTTCTCAACCACCAAACTCCACCAACTAGTGCTAAGACACCAAAACCTGAACCGACCCCTGCAGACGGCACAAGAATTTCATAGGACGTTGATCATCGATTGCTATTCAAACTCGAAAGTAAAATCAGTTAATTACCTATTAGTATTGATTTAGTCTTGTCGCCAACGCATTTATAGTGTCCTGGAGTATTTACACAGTTCTGTCCTTCTTCACATGAATATGTACCAAGTTTACATTCATCAATATCTGGGGTTGCGAAAGATCATAATGTTATAATAATCAAGTGATGAGAAGAACACTTATAACTAAAGCTTCAAAAAAAAAGGAAAAGAAAAGTATAGGATAAGGATAATACTGACCTTTGCATCCATCCACAATAAATGGGTTACCGCTGTAACCGTGGTTGCATCCACAATTTCCAAATCTCATCTCAGAACTGTTTCTGACAAATTGACATATACACTTTGTTCTGGGTTCAAAAATTTTACTAGGATCATAATCATATTCTGTTGCGTTTTTGCAGGCCAAGGAGTTGAGGTACGAAGTATTCTTCGTCTGGAAGATCCATCCGAGACTAACCGTATAATGTCCCTTAGCAAGTAACTTTTGTGGATTGGTGCCACTGGGCATATGGTCGAGTTCATCTGTCACGAATGCCACTACTCTACAATGTTCTTGTTTTGTCCTTTTTGTCGAGTTTCCGTCATTGCTCTCTATCCTGATACCAAGAACTTGTTGAGGGGTGTTAGGTACAAATGTATCACAACATCCGTTACCACTGCACGATGTGAATTCATCTTTAGTGCAAACGTAGTAAGTCTCGGAAGAAAATAAGTTCCTCGGGCACCCCTCTACGCTGAGAATGTTACCTTTGCTCATACTACAATTCAACTCACATCCCACAATGTCGGGCTCTACATGGGTCAACGACACCTTGCTGTTGCAACCAAACGCTATGAGTCTGTTTCTGTAGTAAATGAACATAGGGCTACCCGTCAAGTTCATTATCGGTGCTCCAGTCTCTTTTCCGTCGGTGGAAGTGAAGCATCCAGTATATGTTATCGGGCTTCTGATACGAACAATCCCATATGATGGTACCACAGAGTTATCCATATTAGGAAGAGAGATACTCACAACTTCTTTGTTGATTACTGAAAGGAAAGGGACTGGCTTTCTTGACCTAGCTGTACTCCGACATTCAATCTCGTAGGACTTCTCCAGATAGCAACTCTTCCCGATTCCGAAAGGGTATGGGATCCGGACTCCTCCACATTTACTTGGACAAGAGCTTGAATCTGCAGGCAAAAGTAACAGCTTGAAGAGAATTAAGAAGAGAGAGTAGTTTTTGTTTTTGCAGCGCATCATGTTTCTCTCCCTCCAAAAAGAAAATTTGATCTTCCGGAGTTTGTATTTTCCTTGCTGAAGCAGACAACATATGTCACTATGCGGGGGACAGAGAATACACTTTTTCTCCAATAATGGATTATGGTCTTCGTCTTTTTATTGATATGTCCCTCTCCATCAGATCACACAATAGATTTTCTTAGCTATAATGATGTCGAGACAGCTTGCACATGCAGTTTTGTTTCTTACAAAAGTCACGTTCACAACGTTCAGAACACAATCAGTTCTGAAGAGAATATACAAAAACTAAGAAACTGTAGCTCCTATTAAGTCACCAGCGTCCCAGCCCAAAGTAAACACCAACACAGCTGAATTGGGCATCGGTGATAAGCCCAAACAGCTGAAGTCCAACACTACTCTCCAACGATCTTCAGGTTTTAATCTGCAAAAAGACAAGCAGAGTTCATGAGGATAAGAAGGTGACGATGAAGAATATAGTACGGCTTGCAAAGATGGTCTCAAGCTTTCCAACAGATTTGGAACCGTTTCTGAATAGCTCACAGGATGATGACACTTGGACTTTGCTAGGGTTTTAAGGTTCTTGTATAAATACGTTTTCAGTCTCTAAATAACATTGTAAGAAATCCAAGTCGAAAATTTATCAAAAGATCATTGTTCATGTCGTCCTCTTCTTGAAGCTTTAGCTCCACTTTCAGTTCTTAGTATTGATATCAAATATGAATACATTAACAAACACAGAGACAATATGCGAAGCTAAAAGCAATTTGAAAAAAAAAATCACTTAAGATAGAGTCAATGTCGTAGAGTCTGAGACCAGTGAAGCGGAAACAAGAGGAATTAAAGAGTGCTCTTTTGAGTTCTTCGGTTTGTTCAAAGTGTTACAGTGAGGGCAATAATACGTGATGTATGCAAAATCCTCTTTCCTAGCACGTCTTGCGCAATTTTTAAAACAATGCTCGAAGCAAGTATATAAGAGAAGAATGAGTTATACGATGATGCTTGGAGATCAAGTCACCGGTTATGCATCCACAAAACAATGCTAGAAGTCAGTAAGCACCAGATCTACTCGCAGCAAAGTGAGAAGCATCCCTTGAGGTATTCAACATACTGTGGATATGCCACACGTACAAGAAGTACTTTTCAAAACAACGAGTCTTGTTCCTTAGCCTTGGTAAGTGGAGGCAGGAGGATAAACTTCCTCCCACTAATGGTCTTCTTCTTCATCAGTGTGAAAAAAGGGCTCCCCGTCAAGTTCATTATTGATTCTGTAGACTCTTTTTTCTCGCTTGATAGGATGTTATCGGGATTTTCACACGAACTAAACCATATGATAGAGTCCGAACTAAGTGAGTTAATATAGAAGTATTAGAAGTATAAGTAGTATAATAAGGTCCTGGAGTCGGAAGAGAGATATTGAGAAATTCTACTTCTTGGCCATTTACAAAGAGGAAAGGAACCTGCTTTCGTGAAGAATTGGTACTACTACATCTTATTTTGTAAGCCTTCTCGAGATAGCAACCATCTCTTATTCCAAAAGGGGGTGGGATCTGGATTCCTCCACATTCACGTTGACAAGTGCTTGAAGCAGGGAGAACTGCAGAATAAAGGATCATTAAAAGAAAATTTGCAGCTCATCATGTTTCTCTCTACTCAAAGAAAATTTGATCTTCTTCTTTGCTAAAACAGACAGTGGAGACAGAGAATAAAGTTCCCCCGACTAATGATCTTCATCTTGAATATTTTTTATTGTTTTTTCGTCGATCAGATCACTAATTTGGCTTTAAGCTTCATTTATCTGGTTTCTAAAACTTGGTAGTGGAAAGTTTACTACTTTAAAGTGCTTTAGTTAGGAAAGATAGTAAAAAAAAAAACAAGTGTTCTTACACATGCAGTTTATAATATTAATATCGAATATCTACTCTATTAAAATAGAGTCATTCTTTTTATCTACTGATACAAGTTGTCATTTAAATTTGGATTATTTCTAGAATGTTACGAATAATATAAGTCATATAATTGATTGAACCGTATTACTTAAATTAAACCAACACAATTAATGTAAAAAGACGACCTTAATGTAAACTACCTTCAAAATACGGCAGGTATCTATGTGTATACCGAAAACACATATTTTCTCCTACAAATATGGAATGTTCTAAAAGAATATATATCATAAAAATATTGAATATGGAAATCTACTAATTATACTTAAATTAAATCAGTGGTTATTTATGTAATATAGTCTTGGGCTTACTTTTGTTTTTGAACAAATTATATAGTTTGTTTTTTGGGCTTCATATTAAGAAAAATCTCCAATAACATTGAATAAACTTTTCAGACCGGAAAGATATTTAATATTTTTAACAAAACAAAATTATCTATTATTAATCATTTATTTAAATCATATACTTTAAAACATGTTAATATATATTTTTAATTTTAAATAACAATCACTTTGTTTTAATAAATTTCAATGGTAACTTTTAAATAATTTATTATTTTATTTTTCTTAAATAATTTACTGATTAAAAAAATTAAAGCAATACCAAAAACCAAATCTAAAAACTAAAATCCAAAACCAAAAGCTGAAAACACATGTTATATTTTTTTGCTTTGTTTATTTACAAAATAAACTATTTCAATTTGTTTTTTTTTAAAATTGTTATCATCTTTTCCGTTTTAAATTAAATGTTCGATTATTTTAGATTTGTTTGTTGGTAATATTAATTCAAACTAACTCAGCGGGTTTAAAAATTAAAAACCCAAACCAAAAACTGAAAATGAAAAGTAGAAACTTAAAAGCTAAAAACCAAAAACCAAAATCTAAAAATAAAAACTGAAACTAAAAATTAATGAAAAACAATCATCACCACAAATTTTGGTGAACTGATTTATATCAAAATATTCTTTAAATTAAGATAAAACCCAATTATATAAACTTTTAGTCATAAAAAATTTCCGCGCTTTTTAGGCGCGGATCAAAATCTAGTTGATCTTAAATTCAAGAGTGAATATATCAACAAAATACAGAGACAGTCTGTAAAGGTAGAGCGAATTAAAAACGTTTATATCCCAAAAGCGTATAACAATTACCGTTTAAGACATTGTAATCGTAATATTTACCCCCAAACCTTTTTGTCTTGTTGTATAAAAACATACCAAAATCAAAACTGTAATTCATGCCAATAAAATTACCTTAACGAATACTCGCATCCACAAACATACACACACAATCTCTCCATCTTCACTGTGACACAAGCATCCACAAGCCTTGTTCTTCATCTAAGGGGGTCTTACTCAGACTGGTGTCCCGGTCTCAGTTGTTGCAGCTTCCTCCTTTATTTCTGGAGTGAGATTATTCTCATGCTCACTAGTCAAACTTCTGCCATTAACCACTTCACTGGTTTCAACTAATGACGGAGAGTCTGTGACCAGTAAAGCAGAAACAGAATGCTTAGGTTTGTTGATGAAAATGTAATATACTTGTAACATGGTGATGAATTGAAGCTTGCACAGTGAAAAAAAAAAAGTAAACTAAAACTAGGAATCTGCAGCTGATAATCTGTAAAGGTATAGAGAATTAAAAGATTTAGACACCAAATACAGATAACAATGAATTATTATGAAGACACGGTACATTCAAAAACCAAATGTAAAAAAGTACAAATACATCATCTCAAACATAAATATAATATATGTTCTAAACATGTATAATTTCCAACACTCACAAATACAAAAATATGTAACATCAAACACACATTAATACAAAACCAAATAATTTAAATCTTGAACCAAAACTCACACTTGCAAATTTATTACCAAAGGTTTTGAAGGTGATCATCACATCTATTTACCATTATTCTAAAATCTGATAGACTCACCATGTGGGACGAGGAAATAATGGTTCAGCATCTGAAGAAGAAGGCGAAGCCACAATACCAAAGGCTGGAGCAGTCACACCAACTCTCCAAGAATCTACCTTGTTTATCATATTACTAACTTCTTCTTCCTCTGCTCCCTCCTCTTCATCTTCTTCATCAACGTGAATCTGCACCTGTGAATCCGCTGGAGAAGTGCAAATTCTCTCCAACTCCGTAAAAACTTCTCTCATATTTGGTCGTTTCTTTCCTTTCGAGCTCAAGCACACTAAGGCCAGGTTTGCCACTGCCATTACTTGTTCCGGTTTGCAATCATCTTTTATTCGAGCATCTATAATGTCAGAAAGTCTCTTCTCCTTCATGGCAAGTCTGAAATGATCTGCCAAGCTTACTATTTCTCTAGTGTTTTGCACCATTATGACAGGCTTATCTCCAGTGATAAGTTCCGCTAGCACGACTCCAAAGCTATAAACATCACTCTTGTCTGTATATTGGCTAGACCGGTAATACTCTGGATCCACATACCCAACTGTACCTGAAACAATTGTTGTCCAATGAGTTTGATCTATGGTTATTGACCTTGATGTTCCAAAATCAGCCACCTTGGCTCTGTGCTTCTCGTCTAATAGTATGTTTGCTGACTTGATATCTCGGTGATATATGGGAGAACTTGCAGAAGAATGAAGATAAGAGAGAGCTCCTGCGACATCCACAGCAATGCGTAGACGCATTCCCCATATCATAGTGTAATCATCTGACTCTTCATGAATATGCTGGAAAAGGTTTCCATTAATGATAAACTCATAAACCAGGATAGGAACTTCTGTCTCAAGACAACATCCCAAGAGTTTGACAATGTGTCTATGGTTGATCTGGGAGAGAATCACGACCTCGTTGATGAACTCTTGTAGTTTGTCTTCATCTATAACTTTGGATTTCTTGACAGCAACTGTTCTACCATCTAAGAGCATACCTTTGTACACAGTGCCTTGGCCTCCCTGTCCAAGAACTCTGTTTTCGCTGAAATTTTCAGTGGCTTTCTCCAGCTCTCTGGAGGTGAAGATTCTTGTCTTTTCGACATTACCATCGCTTGTGTTTAGTTCTTGTTGCAACAGTAGTCCCCCATTACGTTTAAAGAACTTCTTCTTCCTCTTTTCCATCCTTCTCTTTATTAGAAACTTTCTCAACCACCAAACTCCACCAACTAATGCTAAGACACCAAAACCTGAACCGACCCCTGCAGACGGCACAAGAGTTTCATAGGTTGATCATCGATTGCTATTCCAACTCAAAAGTAAAATCCGGAAATTACCTATTAGTATTGATTTAGTCTTGTCGCCAACGCATTTATAGTGTCCAAGAGTATTTACACAATCCTGTCCTTCTTCACATGAATATAAACTCATTTTACATTCATCAATATCTGGGGTTGAGAAAGATCATAATGTTATTATAATCAAGTGATGATCATTAAAGCTTCCCAAAAAAAAAAAAAATAGAGCATAAGGAAGTAATTGTGTTTCAAAAAAAAAAAGAGCATAAGGAAGTAATACTGACCTACGCATCCATCCACAACATATGGGTTACCTATGTAACCGTCGTTGCATACACAATTTGCATAGATTATCTCAGAACGGTTGCTGACAATTTCGCATATACACTTTGTTCTGCGTTCAACCATGCTACTAGAATTCAATTGTGTTTCGTTTTTGCAGCCCAAGGAGTTGAGGTACGAAGTATTCTTCGTCTGGATGATCCATCCAAGAGTAAGCGTAGTATGTCCCTTACCAAGTAACTTTTGTGGATTGGTGTCATTGGACAAATCGTAGGTTTCATCTGTCAAGAATTCGACTCTACAATGTTCTTGTTTTGTCCTTTTTGTCGAGTTTCCGTCATTGCTTTCGATTCTGATACCAACAACTTGTTGAGGGATGTTAGGAAGAAATGCTTGACAACATCTGTTACCATTACACATCGTGTCTTCTTCTGGTTCATCTTCTGTGCAAACGAAGTTGCTAGTATAGTAAGATAATATGTTGCTCGAGCACTTCCTTACGTCGCGAAAAGGGGTGCTAGTGTTATGAGACTCTTTGATCATACTGCAATTCAACTCGCATCCAACAGTGTTGGGCTTTACATGCGTGAACGACACCTTGCTGTCGCAACCAACCGCTATGAGTTTGTTGCTGCTGGCAATGTAAATAGGGCTACCGGTCAAGTTCATTATTGATGCTCCTGACTCTTTTCCATAGGTGGAAGTGGAGCATCCAGCGTATGTTATCGGGTTTCTTATACGAACACTCCCATATGCTCCCATAAAAAAGTAACCTGCCATAGGAAGAGAGATACTCACAACTTCTTTGTTGATTACTGAAAGGAAAGGGACTAGCTTTCTTGACGTAGTAGTTGTACTACGACATTCAATCTCGTAAGACTTCTCCAGGTAGCAACTATTCCCGATTCCGAAAGGGTATGGGATCAAGACTCCTCCACATTCACTTGGACAAGAGCTTGAAGCTGCAGACCAAAGGATCATCAATAGCTTGAAGAGAATCAAGAAGAGAGAGTAGTTTTTGTTTTTGCAGCTCATCATGTTTCTCTACTCATTAAAAAAGAAAATTTCGATCTTCCGGAGTTTGTGTTTCCTTGCTGAAGCAGACAACATATGTCAGTGGGGGAACAGAGAATACAGTTCCCTCCAATAATAGTCTTCGTCTTTTATTGATATGTCTCTTCTTTCCATCAGATCACACAGTAGAGTTTCTTAGCTATAATGATGGCGAGATAACTTGCACATGCAGTTTGTTTCTTACAAAAGTCACGTTCACATCATGAACAAGAACAATCAATTCTTAAGAGAATATACAAAAAAAAACTAAGAAACTGTAGCTCTTAGTATGATATCTAATATGAATGCATTAACAAACAGATAGACAATATGTAAAGCAGTAAAGGTAAATGCAACTTTTTTAGAAAAAATCGTATATTTACCCACCAAAACCAACTTATGGCATACCTGAAAACGCGTACTGATAAGCATTAAGAAACACACACACACAGTCTCAATCTGTTCTCTCTTCAGCACAAACAAGAAAGCCTTCTTCTCATTAGCTCATTGGATCTTACTCTGCTCGTGTGCCCCTCTGCAGCTTCTTCCTTTATCTCTGGAGTGGTGATATTCCCACGTTCACTTCTCGAGTTTCTGTTATTTACCACGTCACTCGTTTCAATCAATGTCGTAGAGTCTGAGACCAGTGAAGCAGAGACAGGAGGAAGATGTGAGTACTCTTCTGATTTCTTAGGTTTATTCAGAACGTTACAGTAAGGGAATTAATACGTGATGTATGCGAAAGCCTCTCTCTCCTAGAAAGTCCTGCGCAATTATGTAACACACTGCAAACCATGTTAGAGGCCATCATATAGTAGAAGATTCAGGTACATGATTATGCTTGGAGAGCAAGTCACCGTTATGCATATGACAGTTTCCACAAATGAGTGCAAATGATGACTGTGTGGGATCATGCGTGAGATCCAACTGTCAATGGGAGCCGCATATCCCTGAGGACTGTCATGCTAACATTGTCATTTCCAACTTTCTGTTCATAATCACCACTATCCCACGAAACACTGAGACTAGTCTTCGAACACATAGTCTCTATCTATCCAGTAACTATAAATGATAGCTGTTGAAAGCATCAGTACTTGCTTGATCAAAGTAATACAGTTAAAGTGGTGATCATCACTTTAACATCATTAATACTGACGGAAAACTTGTCTTTTGGTTGCTAAAGTTTAAAGGTTTAATTATAGTCATTTTAGTAATCTTCCCTAAAGTAAATTAGTAATTAATTCCGAGATAAAGTAGCAGTAAGAAAGAGAATACTGTTTCAACATCTGAAGAAAAAGGTCAAAGATTGTTCAACATAGTCTCATACACAACCATAAAATAGGAAAAAAAACATGTCTTAACACTACGGCAATCATAAGCAGAAACTCAGACTTTCAACATAAATTCTAAAACAGTTATAGCCCAAACGTGTTAACAAGATCATCAAATCTGTTCACTACTACTTGAATATGATTGAGTCAGCATGTGGGAATAGTGGTTCAACCTCTGGAGAAGAAGAAGATGAAACCAAGGCTTGAGCAGTTATACCAACGCTCCAAGAATCTCCTCTGTTTATCATATTCCTAACTTCTTCTTCATCCTCTTCGTCTTCTTCTTCATCCTGAATCTGCACGTGTGACTCCTCTGGAGAAGTACATATCCTCTCCAACTCCATAAAAGCTTCTCTCATATTCGGACGCTTCTTTCCTTTCGAGCTCAAGCACTTCATGGCCAGTTTTGCCACTGCCATTACTTGTTCCAGTTTGCAATCATCTTTTATTCTGGCATCCATAATATCAGAAAGTCTCTTTTCTTTCATTGCAACCCTGAAATGCTCAGCCAAGCTTACTATTTCTTTAGTGTTTTGCACCATTATGACAGGCTTATCTCCGGTTATAAGTTCCGCTAGTAGGACTCCAAAGCTGTAAACATCACTCTTATCTGTATACTGGCTGGACCGGTAATATTCTGGATCCACATACCCAACTGTACCTGAAACAACAGTTGTCCAATGGGTTTGATCTATGGTTATTGACCTTGATGTTCCAAAATCAGCCACCTTGGCTCGGTGCTTCTCGTCTAGTAATATGTTCGTCGACTTGATATCTCTGTGATATATGGGAGAACTTGCGGAAGAATGAAGATAAGAGAGAGCTCCTGCCACGTCTGTAGCAATGCGTAGACGCATTGCCCATTTCATAATGTAATCATCAGAGTCTTCATGGATATGCTTGAAAAGGTTTCCGTTGAGGATAAACTCATAAACCAGGGTAGGAACTTCGGTCTCAAGACAACAACCCAAGAGTTTGACTACATGTCTATGGTTGATCTGAGAGAGAATCACAACCTCGTTGATGAACTCTTGTAGTTTGTCTTCATCAATGACTTTGGATTTCTTGACTGCCACGGTCCTACCATCTACCAGCATACCTTTGTACACAGTGCCTTGACCTCCCTGTCCAAGAACTCTGTTTTCGCTGAAGTTTTCAGTGGCTTTCTCCAACTCTCTCGAGCTGAAGATTCTCGTCTTTTCGACATTGCCTTCACTTGTGTTTACTTCTTGTTGCAACAGTAGTCCCCCGTTACGTTTGAAGAACTTCTTCTTTCTCTTTGTTATTTTTCTCTTTATAAATAACTTTCTCAACCACCAAAGTCCACCGACTAGGGCTAACACACCAAAAGCTGCACCCACCCCTGAAAACCCCACAACAAAATATGATAATAGATTGATCATACTTGCTTATCAAGGCTTTAAATTTTGCGACTGAAGAAAAAAAAAACAATTGTTTTTTACCAATGAGTATTGCTTTTTTCTTATCTGCCACGCAGCGGAAGCTTCCTTGAGTATTCACACAACTGTATCCTTCTCCACATATTGAGGATGTGATGTTGCATTCATTAAAGTCTGGATATCAAAGATCAAGGAATTTTGGAATCTAGAGATGATTTTAATAACTAAAAAGGATGCATTTGCACACACACACACACACACAAGAAGAAGAAGAAAAGGAAAGAGCATATTATTTACCTTTGCATCCGCCTTTGATATATGCGTTTCCTGTGTAACCCTCCGTGCATCCACAATGTGCATAACTAACATTAGAAATGGTGGTATTGTCGCATATGCACTTCATGTCGGATTCACTAGAGTGAGTAGTATGTTGGTACTCTTTTCTGTTGTCACAGCGCAAAGAAGGAAGGAATGAAGGATTCTTCGTCTGGATCACCCAGCCTAGAGTAACCGTAGCATATCTCTTACCAAATAACTCATCTGGTTTTCTCGCTTTGGACAAAGTGTAGACGTCATCTGTAATGAAGGCCACTCTACAATCTTCTTCTCTTGTTGTTGTCGTCAAGTTCCCACCAATGCTCTCTATCTTTATACCAAGAGTTTGTTGAGGCTCGTTAGTTAGCTTGACCTGACAACATCCATTACCATTGCATTCAAGTTCTTCGTCTGGTTTGTTTTCTGTACAATCCGCGTACTTATAAGACAGACTGTTGTTAGAGCACCCAATTTTGTCAAGAAAAGGGATGTTCTTGCTAGGTTTGTCTTTGCCTGTATTGCAAGTCAACTCGCATCCCACCATGCTTGGCTTTATATGCGTGAGCGACACTTTGGCGTTGCAACCAACCGCTATGAAGCTGTTTACGTCGTCAATGAAAAAAGGGCTACCGGTCAAGTTCATTATTTTTCCTGTAGACATTTTTTTGTCGCTTAAACATCCTACAGATGTTATCGGGATTTTCACACGGACTAAACCAAATGACAGACGTCGAACGAATTGAATTGATCTAAAATCAGAAGTAGTAAAAAATCGTCCTTCACTCGAAAGAGAGATATTTACTACTTCTACATCTTGGCCACTTACAAAGAGGAAAGGAACTTGTTTTCTTGAAGAAGTGGTACTACGACATTTGATCTTGTAAGACTTCTCGAGATAGCAACCATCTCTTGTTCCAAAAGGGTATGGGATCTGGATTCCGCCACATTCAGTTGGGCAAGAGCTTGAAGTAGGGAGAACTGAAAGGACCATCAAGAGTAACAGCTTAAAAAAGATGGAGAAGAGAGAGCAACTTTGAATTTTGCAGCTCATCATATGTTTCTCTACTCAAAAGAAAATTCGATTTTCGTCTTGATAAAAGCACAGACAGTGGAGACAGAGAATAAAGTTCCCTTGACTAGTACTGGTCTTCATCTTGAATACTTTTTAATTCTTAACTCTGTTTGTTCTTTTTCATCGATTGGATCACTAATAATTTGGCGTAAAGCTTTCATCATTTATCTGGTTGGTAGTGGGAAGTCTATTAACTTTAAAAAATATAGTAAAAAACGAGTATTCTTGCACATGCAGTTTATATATATAGTAATTAATATCGAATATGGTCAAAATTGAAGTGTGAATACAGAGATAAGAGTCACCGTTTCAGACACCGAATTGTCATATTTACCCCCACCAAAACCGCGTTGCTTAATCTAATCCATGGCAAGAAAGTTATGCGGTTTTGGTGGGGTAAATATGACAATTCCAGTAACTTCTCCATCTTCACTGTAACACAAGCCCACGAAAGCCTTATTAATAACTCAGCTAAGTTGCAGGCAGCTTCCTCCTTTATTTTGGAGTGGGGCTATTCCCGCGTTCACTAGAAGAGCTGCTGCTATTGACCACTCCACTGGTTCAGTCAATGAACAGTAAAGTGGAAACAGGAGGAATTGAGTGGATTTTTGGCTGAATGCTTCGGTTTGTTCAGAGCGTTACAGTGAGGGAAATAATAATACGTGATGTATGTGACATCCTCTTTCCTAGCAAGTCCTGCTCAATTTTTAAAACAATACTCGAAGCAAGTATATAAGAGAAGATTGGGTTATACGATGATGCTTGGAGATCAAGTCACCGCTATGCATCCACAAAACAATGCTAGAAGCCAGTAAGCACCAGATTTACTCGTAGCAAAGTGAGAAGCATTCCTTCCTTTCTTTTGAGGTATTCAACATACTGTGGATATGCTACACGTACGAGAAGTACTTTCAAAACAACAAGATAACAATGAATTATTATGAAGAAACGGTATATTCATAAAGAAAATGTTAGAATAAATTACAAATACATTATATCACACATAAATATAATTTATGTTCTGAACATAAGTATACATTACCTCAAACACACATTAATTTAAATCTACCGAAACTCACACTTGCAAATTTATTACAAAAACATGTTCAAGATGATCATCATCACATCTATTCACCATTACTCTAAAATCTGATAGACTCACCATGTGGGACGAGGAAACAATGGTTCAGCATCTGAAGAAGAAGGCGAAGCCGCAGTACTCAAGGCTCGAGCAGTCGCACAAACTCTCCATGGTTTATCATATTTCTAACTTCTTCCTCTCCCTCCTCTTCATCTTCTTCATCAACGTGAATCTGCAACTGTGAATCCTCTGGAGTAGTGCATATCCTCTCCAACTCCGTAAAAACTTCTCTCATATATGGACGTTTCTTTCCTTTTGAGCTTAAACACTTCAACGCTAAGTTTGCCACGGCCCTTACTTGTTCCTGTTTGCAATCATCTTTTATTCGAGCATCCATAATATCATCAAGTCTCTTCTCCTTCATGGCGAGTCTGAAGTGATCTGCCAAGCTTATTGTTCCTCGAGTGTTCTCCACCATTATGACAGGCTTCTCTCCAGTAATAAGTTCCGCTAGGACGACCCCAAAGCTGTAAACATCGCTCTTATCTGTAAACTGGCTGGACCTGTAATACTCTGGATCCACATAGCCGACTGTACCCGAAACAACTGTTGTCCAATGAGTTTGATCTATGGTTATTGACCTTGATGTTCCGAAATCAGCCACCTTAGCTCGATGCTTCTCGTCTAGTAATATATTTGTTGACTTGATAGATCTATGATAAATAGGAGAACATGCAAAAGAATGAAGATAAGAGAGAGCTCCTGCGATGTCCACAGCTATGCGCAGACGCATTCCCCATATCATAGTGTAATCATCAGACTCTTCATGGATATGCTGGAAAAGGTTTCCGTTTAGGATAAACTCGTAAACCAGCATAGGAACTTCTGTCTCAAGACAACATCCCAGAAGTTTGACTACGTGTCTATGGTTGATCTGAGTGAGGATCACCACCTCGTTGATGAACTCTTGTAGTTTGTCTTCATCTAAAACTTTGGATTTCTTGACTGCAACGGTCCTACCATCTACAAGCATACCTTTGTACACAGTGCCTTGGCCTCCCTGTCCAAGAACTCTGTTTTCACTGAAGTTTTCTGTGGCTTTCTCTAGCTCTCTCGAGCTGAAGATTCTTGTTGTTTCGATACTACCTTCTCTTGTGTTCATTTTTTGTTGCAGAAGTAGTCCTCCGTTACGTTTGAAGAATTGTTTCTTCCTCTTTGTAATCTTTCTCTTTTTTAGAAACTTTCTCAACCCCCAAGCTCCACCAACAAGGACCAAAACACCAAATCCTGAACCGATCCCTACAAACAAACCGCATGCAAATATTATATAGGTTGATCTCAATTTTTTTTTTATAGAAGTTTAAGTTTTGCAACTCAATGTTAAGCTAGATGACTTACAACCTAAAACCAATTGGTAGTAAGTGTAGTGGCTTATATACTTAATTAGGATCCCTTTCAACTTGTGATGAGAGACATCCCTAATACTCAAGTTTGAGGAAAACTCACCTATCACTATTGGTTTGGTTTTATCACCTTCGCAATGAAAGCCCCCAAGAGTATTCACACAAGTGCCTCCTCTTCCACATACTTCAGGCATAGTTTTACATTCGTCAGTGTCTGGATAAGAGAAAAATTCAAATGATGACTATAAAGTTGATATAGTTATAAAATAAGAGATGACTTGTAAAACTAAATTAATGCTTCCATCCACACAGAAAGAAACCAAAAATGAGAGCAAACAAAGAACTTTTTTTTTTAACTGACCTTCACATCCTTCTAGAATATATGGGTTGCCACTGTAACCCTTGTTACATTCAAAATTTGCATAACTTACCCCCAAAAAAATGTTGCTTGTTCCGCACGTACACTTTGTCTCGGGTTCAACAGAGTTAGTGGTGGAATAGCCGTTATCTTTTCCAAACTTGCAGTTCAAGGAGTAGAGGGACGAAGTCTTATTTGTCTGGATTACCCACCCTAAAGTAACTGTAGAATACCCCTTATCAGCCAACTCTTGTGGTGTAGTGCCATTGGACATATTGTAGACTTCATCCGTCAAGAAAGCCACTCTACAGCTTGTCGAGTTCCCATCATTGCTTTCTATAACGACACCAACAACTTGTTGAGGCTCGGTTATTCCAACCTGACAACATCCATTACCATCACATTCTGTGTCATCTGATGACGCTACATCTCTACAGTCCTCTCCGGTGTAAGTACGGGGGAAAATGTCGACGGAGCAGGCTGATTTCATGAGAAAAGGGATGTTATTGATCATATGAGAGTCTCTTCTCGTGTTGCAGTTCAACTCGCACACCACCGTGTTGGGTTTTATTTGCGTCATCGACACTTTGCTGTTGCAACCAACCGCGATGAGGCTGTTTAGGTCATCAGTGAAAAAAGGTGTACCGGTCAAGTTCATAACTAATTCTACGTCAGAGTCTTTATCACCAGCAGAACATCCTGTTGTGATCATTGGAAATTTGACAGTAACTAACCCGTACGGTCTAATAGAATCATACAAGAACCTATAATCTTTTTTTTGGTTCGGAAGAGTGATACTCACAACATCTGCTCCAACTGATGGAAGGACAGGGACGAGCTTTCTTGAAGTAGGGTTCTCTTGACATTCAATTTCGTAATATTGGTCGAGATAGCAACCTTTTCCGATTCCAAAAGGATAGGGAATCGGGATACCTCCACAATCAGACGGACAAGTTGAAGCAGCGACATCTGTGGTATAAATGATCAGCAAAAGGGGCAGCTTAAAGAGAACCAAGAAGAGAGAACATTTTGTGTTTTTGTAGCTCATCATGTTCTTCTTTTTTTTTTGTCTACTGAAAATGCAAATAATGATCTTCTCTATTACTATATTAGCAGACGGCCTTCGTAAGTGGGAGATACATGGTAGTGTCTTCATCTTTCAATATTTTATTGCTATATCTCAATATTTTTCTTGCTCAATATGACGGAAAGCTTTTCTTTTGGTTGGTAGAGAGTTTAAGGGTTTAAAGTGCATGGTGTGATCATAACTTGAATTTTTTTTTTTTTTGCAATGAAATTTAGTATTTAATAACAAGATCAATATATAATACAAAAACGTGCTAAATCCTAAGATTATCAAATTCATTACCATCAGTCTATTCTGGTTGAGTCACCATGTGAGACAAGGAAACATAGTTCAAGATCTGAAGAAGAATTGAAGGTGAACAATGGTTATCATACACAAATCATAAAATAAATAAAATATTGTCTTAGTTGACATACGACAATCATAAGCGATTAAGCGGAAAGTCAGACTTTCAAAATACATCCTAAAAACAGTTATAAACCTAAACGTTTTAAACAAGATCATCAAAATATATTCACCACTACGTAGTTTAATATGATTGAGCCAGTCACCATGTGGAACGTGTAAACAGTGGTTCAACGTCTGAAGAAGAAGATAAAGATCATGCATGGTAACAAAGTGATTTGTTACTGTCACGTTAACATCCAAGTTCCAACCTTCTATTCATAATCGCCACCATCCTAAAGATACTGAGACCAATCTTCGAACACATAACCTGGTCACTATCAACACCCACTAACTACAAATGATAGCTGTTGAAAGCGTCATAATCATAATTACTACCAGCTTGAATATTAGCAGTTCATAGAAAAAGGTTTAACATGAACGAGTAAATTGTATGCCATCACAGTTAAGTAACAAATACAAACAACTACATACCAACAATAGATTACAAATACATAACCTCAAACACAGATAATACAAAGACAAGTGTAAAATCAAAAGCTAAAACTCAGAGTTAGCCTTACCACTTTTCCTAAAACATTTTCACAAAATTATCAAATTTATTCACCATCACTACAGTTTGTTTGATTCACCATGTCAAACGAGGAAACAGTGGTTCAACATCTGAAGAAGAAGGTGCAGTATCAATACTAAAGGCTGGAGCAGTCACGCCAACTCTCCGAAAATCTCCCTTGTTGATCATATTCCTAACTTCTTCTTCCTCCTCTTCATCTTCTTCATCAACGTGAATCTGCACCTGTGAATCCTCTGGAGAAGTGCAAATTCTCTCCAACTCCGTAAAAGCTTCTCTCATATTTGGTCTTTTTTTTCCTTTTGAGCTCAAGCACTTCAACGCCAGATTCGCCACTGCCGTTACTTGTTCTGGGTTGCAATCATCTTTTATTCGAGCATCCACAATATCAGAAAGTCTCTTCTCCTTCATGGCGAGTCTGAAATGATCTACCAAGCTTATTGTTCCTCGAGTGTTCTCCACCATTATGACAGGCTTCTCTCCAGTAATAAGTTCAGCGAGTACGACTCCAAAGCTATAAACATCACTCTTGTCTGTATATTGGCTAGACCGGTAATACTCTGGATCAACATACCCAACCGTACCTGATACAACCGTTGTCCAATGAGTTTGATCTATGGTTATTGACCTTGATGTTCCGAAATCAGCCACCTTGGCTCGGTGCTTCTCGTCAAGTAATATGTTTGTTGACTTGATATCTCTGTGATATATCGGAGAACTTGCGGAAGAATGAAGATAAGAGAGAGCTCCTGCCACGTCCACAGCAATGCGTAGACGCATTCCCCATTTCATAATGTAGTCATCAGATTCTTCATGAATATGCTGGAAAAGGTTTCCGTTAATGATGAACTCATAAACCAGCGTAGGAACTTCTGTCTCAAGACAACATCCCAAGAGTTTGACTACGTGTCTATGGTTGATCTGGGAGAGAATCACAACCTCGTTGATGAACTCTTGTAGTTTGTCTTCATCAATGACTTTGGATTTCTTGACTGCAACGGTTCTACCATCTAAGAGCATACCTTTGTACACAGTGCCTTGGCCTCCCTGTCCAATAACTCTGTTTTCGCTGAAGTTTTCAGTGGCTTTCTCCAGCTCTCTGGAACTGAAGATTCTTGTCTTTTCGACGTTACCATCGCTTGTGTTTAGTTCTTTTTGCAATAATAGTCCCCCATTACGTTTAAAGAACTTCTTCTTCCTCTTTTCCATCCTTCTTTTTATTAGAAACTTTCTTAACCACCATAATCCGCTAACTAGGGCTAAAGCACCAAAACTTGAACCAACCCCTGGAAAACCGCACACGAATATAATATGTTGATCATACTTGCGTATCAAGGCTTGCGACTGAAAAAAAAAAAATCAGTGAGTTTACCTATTAGTATTGGTTTTTTCTTATCTCCCACGCAATGATAGCCTCCTTGAGTATTCACACAAGTGTTTCCATCCCCACATCTTGAGGGTAAGTATTTGCATTCATCAATATCTGATTATCAAAGATCATGAAATTTTGGAATTTAATAGATGGTTTGTATAACTATGCATCTTCACACACACACACACAGAAGAAAAAAAAAAAGAAAAAAAAGAAAAAAAAAGGAGCATATTACTGACCTTCGCATCCGTCCTGGATATATGCGTTTCCTGTGTAACCAGCTTTGCAGCCACAATGTGCATAACTAATATTAGAAATGGTGGTTTTGTCGCAGATACACTTCATTTGGAGTCCACTAGTATGTCCGTACTCTTTTCTGTTGATGCAGGGTAAGGAGGTCAGGAAGGAATGATTCTTCGTCTGGATTACCCATCCTAGAGTAAGCGTAGCATATCCCTTACCGAGTAACTGTCTTGGTTTTGTCACATTCGACAAAGTGTAGACTTCATCTGTAATGAAAGCCACTCTACAATCTTCTTCTTCTCTTGTTGTTATTGTCGAGTTTCCACCATAGCTCTCTATCTTGATACCAAGATCTTGTTTAGGCTCGTTAGGTAGTTCAACCTGACAACATCCATTACCGTCGCATTCGGTTTCTTCTGGTTTGTTTTGTGTACAGTCCTCGTAATTATATGACAGGCTGTTGCGCTCGCATCCGGTTTTGTCGAGAAAAGGGATGTTATTGCTAGGCTGGTCTTTGCTCGTATTGCAAATCAACTCGCATCCCACCATGCTTGGCTTTATATGCGTCAGAGACACTTTGGAGTTGCAACCAACCGCTACAAGGGTGTTTTTGACAGCAATGAAGAAAGGGCTACCCGTGAAATTCATTACTGATTCTGCAGAGTCTTTTCCGTCGCTGGAACATCCTGCGGATGTTATTGGCATCTTCACACGAACTAACCCAAATGATAGAGCCTGAACAAACTCAGTTAATTCAGAAGAAGTATAATAACCATCTTCAGCCGGAAGAGAGATATTCACTACTTGTACTTGTTGGCTATTTACAGAGAGGAAAGGGGCATGCTTTCGTGAAGAAGTGCTACTACGACATTTGATCTCGTAAAACTTCTCAAGATAGCAATCATCTCCAATGCCAAAAGGGTATGGGATAAAGACTCCTCCACATTCACGTCGACAAGGGCTTGAAGCAGCGACACGTGCAGGACAAAGGATCACCAGCTTCAAGAGAATCAAGAAGAGAGACGACTTTGTATTCTCGTATCTCATGTTTCTTTACTCAAAGCAAACTTTTGATCTTCGTACCTTGCTAAAGTAGACATATATATATTGTCAGTGGAGACGGAGGATAAAGTTCCATCAACTAATGGTCTTAGTCCCATGTGGCCCCAACTTGGCGGAAAGCTTTTTCATTTGGTTAATTTAGATTGGTGATCGTCTCCTTTTGGAAAAAAAAATGTTAATCTATTAAGTACTCCTGCGCACAAAGATTCTTGCAGAAGTCATATTCATATCATGAACTAGCAAATTGCAGAAAACATATAAGAGCACCTTCAACAAGCAAACTCAAGTTCAGAAAAAAAAAAAAAAAAAAACAAGCAAACTCATTTAGGATGAGAGGTTGAAGGTATGTTACTTTAATGGTCCCCCTCAAATTTATTTTTAAGATAATTTGATATTTACAATTTGAGCTCTTATTATTATTAATAATAACTAATATTGAGTACTAAATTTTCATAATTAAAAAAAAAATATTAAATAAAATATTTCAAGAAAGATATAATAATAATTACCGGTATGTAACTAAAAGAAATATAAAGTGTTAATAATATACATAATTGAAATATTGATAAATATGTAACCATAAATATTAAAATGTGATATAAAAGAAAACTGTTCATAAAATTACTAAATATAAAGACTAAAACAAAAATGAATAATATTTTAGGAGGATAAACAATGCATACTCGGATTTGAAAATGTTATATTTATCTTAATAATTTTAAAAAAATTTTTTGAAGAAACGTTTGAGGAAATTAGAATGTAAAACATTTAATAATAAAGAAATAATACAAATATACAATTTAGACCCCTATAATTAATTAAATTTTATTTTGTTATCAAAATATTATTAAGAATATATATAACGACTAACCTAAGTTTATTAATTATTTGTATTTTCAAAATTTTAAAAACTGGCGGTCTGTGCGTGCATGCTTAGACCATCAATATCGCGGTCTTCTCATCGTATTTTAGGAGGTGGAGGGCCACGATTAATTAAAAAAATGTCTTCTATGTTGCATAATAAGTGATGTTTATTGGAAGATTTTTACACTATTTTACGGGCTCCATGACACATAACAGTCCGTGATTGATTTCTATATTTTTTAAATCAGATAAAACAAAAAGAAAAAAAAAATTAAGAACCCACCTACCGTCTCCGCGATATTGATGGTCTAAATAAGCCGACCCTGGACGTACAAGAAGTACTTACGAAACAACGTGTTTCCTTAGCCTTGGTAAAAGGAAGCAGAGGATAAATTTCCACCCACTAATGGTCTTCTTTTATCTTTGAATATTTTTTTGCTACATCTCATTGTTTTTCTTGGTTAAGATCAATAATATGACGGAAACTTTTTCTTTTTGTTTTAATACGGTGTATAAAGCTTAAAACACGCGTTGATTATACATGCAGATAATAAAAAAGTACATGCAGTTTCTTTGTTGCAAAAGTCCCGTTCATATAATGAACTTGAAAAATACAAAAAAAACATTAAGTGGATAATTTAAAGATAATTTACAAAACTAAGAAACTGCAGCTCATGGTATCAAATCTATTAAGATAATAGGGTGATCCAAATTAACAAAAGTACAGAGACATTTTGAAAAGGTAAAGAAATTTAAAAAGATGTAAACCCACAAAAACGTCGTCATGAAACAATCATGTTTACAACATGAGACTCGCAATGGTTTCCAACCAAAACTCTATTGTCTTGTTGAAACAGATCAGGATCAAAATTATTACCAGCTCAAATATTAGCAATTTATAGAAAAAGTTTAACCTGAACGAATAAATTGTACGCCATCATGAGTATTCCAAAAATAGATTACTTGTTAAGAGGAAAAAGCAAATTTTTTGATTCTACATATTCATCATGTGGGATAAATGGAAAAAAAATTGTGAATCTCGTCAAAAATCATTCATAATAAAAAGGAAGAGTAATTAAAAGAATGGATGGAATGAAATAATTTAAATATAATTAAAAAATACATATATCATTTCTTTAATTCTTCGAATTATGACCATTAATTCCATTCCATCTTATTCTACTGATTTCAATTCTATTGATTCCCTACATTCATAGAATTATTTACCAGTTACAGCCTATGGTCAATATCAACCCACTAACTATAAATGATAGCTGTTGAAAACATCTATACTATTAAAGCTGAAGTACAAAAATAAAGTGTTTGGAAACATGAATAAGAAAATTTTAAAAGTTTGATTGGAAACATGGATAGCATACAAATTTAATGGGCTTATTTATTATATTAAAGATTACTGCGGCCCAAGGTACCATTTTACGGGTCACAATATTTTACGACGCCCCTGTTACACAATACAATAATGAAATACAATGTTTAAACAATATACTATTACTTAGTAAAACTGGAACCATTAAGTTGTAACTTTGAAATGTTATCTATACTATAAAAACAAAGACCCTCTCAGTCGGACGGGTTATGATCTAGTTTTGATTAAAAAAAAGAGCTGTTGAAAACATTAGTTTGATCACAACTTGTTTTGTAAGGCACAGATAAAAAATTGAAACATAATATAATCCAAAAGTTTAAAGACGACTTATCTCACCTGAATAAATTATTGCGTGGTGTAATAACTTTTTTTTTTTTTGAAAAATGTGTGGTGTAATATTTGGTCCGTTCTTTACGAACATTGATATTAGTTAGCAATTCCATCTTATTCTATTTATAATCCAATTCTATCTATTCCATACATTTATAAAATTATTTACCAGTTGCAGCCTATAGTCAATATCAACCCACTACCTATAAATGATAGCTGTTGAAAACATTAGTTTGATCAAAACTTGGTTTTGTAAGGCATAGATAAAAAAAGCTGAAACCTAGTATAATCCAAATGCGTGGTGTAATAAGTTAATAACTGGTCCGTTCTTTAAGAACATTGATTTTAGCTAACCTTTCAGCTCGAAGCTTTATAAGGTCTTTTGGTCTCTTCGATCAACTGTACATTTTTACAAATTTAAAAACAAAAAGTAACTGATTCTTCTATAAAACTAGTAAACACACCCAGTGGGACTCGAACCCACAATCGCTTGATTAGAAGTCAAGCGCCTTATCCATTAGGCCATGGGTGCTTCTTATTATTTCTTCTAAAATTAAACCTTTAATTAATGATATTAAGAGGGTTAAGTTCTTGGTTATATCTTAGCCTTTCATATAATGGCAAGATCTTTCTTTTCTTCCCGCCTAAACTTGGAGCTCGGAAATAAGCTGAAGGGATTGGCGTGGGAAAAACTCCACGATGAAGCATTGAGACTGTACACTCAAAAGATTCATACTCTAGGAACTAATGGCTCACAGTGATAAGTGATCCTTCCTTCTTTCTATGCAAGAATATGGAGTTCCCTGCTATATGCCTGCACGAACCATGTCGTGACACATGGTTGGTCCTAGGCTAAGTATGTTGAAACATTCGTCTCATGTCCCCGAAAATTTTGAAAAGAATTATATATATATGAGCTCCTAAAAAACCATTTTTAGGATCCTATATTAGTTTTAAACAAAATTTAGTTGAATTTTTTAAAAAACCGTCTATGCCCTCTAACTCTCAGGACAGGCCTGCATAACAGCCTTGATATTGCGTAAAACGTCATTGCAAACGAGCTAATGAAATACGAACCTGACAATTGAAGTGAGGACTAAATCATAAAGCTTTGCTGAAATTGGTCTTCAAGGGTGAAAATGTCACATGGCCACAGATCCTGTTTCATGCTTTTGTTATTGTTTGGCCACATGAACCGAACTTGACGGCTGCCAAAACATGACCATCTAAAGTGTTTATTATCGCTGATATGTTGCCTCACTTTGTGGAACCAGTTTGAAGCTATTCTTTGTTGATGTGATAATATTATGCTAAAAGTTCTCTGAAGTGACTTATGAGAGGAGGAATATCTTTATGATCGAACAAGAGAACCGAACTAATATGGATGTGAAGATAAATTATAAACAAAGCCTGCAATATCTGAAGCCTGAAGGTAACTTATGGCCTGATAATAAAGTGGGTGGACCTTTAACAAAGAAGATTTAGATTGGACGCCAACTTCTAACCATATCTGGAAGTCATAGAAAAAGAAGAGTATAGACAGGAAAGAAAAAGAAAAAAAGAAAACAAACTGCATGCTAAATAAAACAAGTTCAAAGACAAGGATGCATGTATGTATACTCATACAAATAAGTAGCTACAGGGACGTATGAAACAAGTAGTTAAACCATATTAAAGCTAAAAGTGACTGCAAGCATCAGACTAGATCGTTTATCCAGTCAATGTCCATCATGAGGAAACTGTCCAGCTGTAAGTCTTCTACTGAGAATATTGATTCTACACTTGCATCCACTGGGAGATAATGTTCATCAGCCATCTCCATAATCTCAGTAGCAACAGATGCATCCGGGGAAGCAGGAGGAACCTGATATGGAACCTGATCTGTTGCCGGGATTGGTGTGGCAGGAGAAGGCACAGACAAAACTGATGAAGCATAGTTTGTTGCTATTGTCTGAATGTCATTCTTGGACAGAGGCCTGACAGAACCTTCAGGAAGCTGAGGCTTTTTACTAGTGGGGAAATTGAAAACTCCCTTCTCACCTCTAATGCAGAACAAAGCAGCGTCATATGCTCTAGCTGCCTTCTCAGGATCATCATATGAACCTAGCCATATTCGTCTTGCAGTCCTTGGAACTCTTATTTCAGACACCCACTTTCCCCATGACCTCTTTCGTACGCCCCTGTAACATTTAAATCTTCCATCTTCATGAGCTTCTTCGAGTAAAGGAGATTTAGGAGTAGAGGGTGGCATTATGTCCCTAACAGAAGCAGAGTCTCAAGATTAGTGTTTTTTTTTTTTTTTTTCTCAAGATTAGTGTTGAACAGCTTTATGCAGAGTATCTAAGCAGGAATAACATTTTGTGTTGGATTATGGAGCAGGTGGAGATGGAGTGAAGAGGCACGCCATGTTTGTGAACAGCACGTGGCATCGAAGAAACTGCTGTTGTGCCAGGATGTTAGAGATCTTGAGAGTTTTATCCGCGGGTATCAGACTGACAAGGTATCTGCCAATACGTTTCTTTAAAGAGAGAGAGAGAGACACCGCAAAAAAAGAAAGGAGGAGGGGAAGAACCTAGTGGTTGTTACAAATCCAATGTCCGTTTCTTGGCCGAAGTTGACACACGCGTAAGAACAACCGCAACTTCTGGAGATATTATGAGATCAGTCCAAAGGCTAGATAAAGTTTCAGTTTTATTCCATGTGTCAGCCAGATAATCGGTAAAACCATTAATGCAGACTGAAATCTTTTTTTAATGGAAACTTTTGATCCAAGTCTTGTGAGCGTTAAGAAGATGCCTCAAATGGAAGCTAGTCCTGGAACCTGAGCTTCTTATTGTTTTATTGTGAGCCGAGGAACCAAGCATAACAACACTGAAAGGGAAAGAACTATTCAAACTGTTAAACTGTTAAAAGGGGAAAGAGCCAAGAAAAAGGTAAGGTGGCCTGCAAATCTTTGAAGGTTAAAAACATTAACTAGGACCTTATAGTCTTTATTGTGTAATTCTGTACTTCATTGTTCAAAGGTACTAAAGCATAATCTTATACTTCAGTTTGAGAATCTTCTACTATTACTAGATGCCTCCACAATGAGAACGTTGATAATCATCATACATAGCACACGGATCTCCACAGAAAACTGCAAACTGCATAAAGAAGACGCATAAAAGACATATCTCTGTGCCTTGGTTTCATACATAGTCCCTAATCCACTCTTCTTTTGAAGCCATCTCACAAATCCTTACAATTGCAAAAGAAAGAGACGTAGAGAGAGAGACCAATCTCACACAAAAGAAAAAAAATCTACAAAAAGCAGAAAATGTCTCAAACTGTTTTCTATGGAATAAGATCTTCATGTTAAAGACGTTACAATAATGTTACAAAAAAATTTGTCACTCAAATAGTTTGAAAGGCTCAGCTTTAAGAATATTAGAATCTAAAACTGTTTGCTTTTCAATCTGAAGATGGAAAACTTCAGAGAACTCCTTAAGTAAAGACTCATGAGCTAAATCTACCAACCTCAAATCACCAACCTTTCCATGTTCTCCACCTTCAAGCAAACCCTTAATGCTCCCAACTTGTCTATCTCTAATCCCACACGGAACTATCGAACTGAACGGTGCTAAATCAGTAGTAACATTAAGAGCCAAACCATGATACGTTATCCATTTCGACACACGAATACCAATAGCCGCCACTTTTTGATTACCTACATAAACATTAGCAAACCAAAAAACAAAAGTCTAAAATACAATAACAAAAGTCTAAAATACAATGCTGTGTGTTTGAGACATACCAACCCAAACTCCAGTTAAACCATCAATACGTGAAGCTTCAATAGAGAAAGCAGAGGAAAGAACACGTATGACAACCTCTTCAAGCTTCCTGAGGTACCAATGAAGATCCATCTCGTGATTCCGAAGATTGATTATAGGATACATAACCAGCTACATTGTTTCAAACAATCACATTCTTTAGTAAGAAAACAAAGAAACAAATATTCAATGTAATGCTGAGATTAGTTAGTTACCTGACCAGGGCCATGGTAAGTGACTTCACCACCACGTTCAGTTCGATACACATCGAAAGGAGCATCCTTTACGTCGAAATTGAGATAATCATCTGAACTGCCAGTTCCCATTGTGTAAACAGGAGAGTGTTGTAATAAAATCACAGTATCAGGACACTCTTGGTTTCCATCAATCAATGTTTTTTTCTCTTCGACGATGCGTTGTTGCCATGTCCAAGCTTTCTTGTACGGAACCAACTGATCGTGGAGATCAAAACACAGACACCTGACAGTTGATTGTGATTGCACAGAACGTGTTCGTGAAAATGCCGCAGACAGGAAAAAAAAAAGAAGCGAGTTAATAAAAGGTTTAAACTTTACTTTCTTGGGGTTTCATGATGTCTTCTTGTGTTGAAGACCTTCACAGATCTGGATACTCTGTTTCTGTTGGCGTTAGTACGAGGGTGATGATGGAGACCAGGGAGTTGTGTTTCTACTCGATGAAGTGACTCCATAACACGGATGTGTTAGTTGAAACTTGTTTTGTCTGAAAATCTTTTACAATAATTCTGTTTTTAGCCAATCAGAAAAGAATAATAGCAATTTTGACCCAAATTTCTTTCTTTTTTTAAAAAAATATTTGAAACCAAAAAGAAATCTTGTGGATAAGAGATATTTTACATACTTTGTAAGAAGAAGATAAACAAAAAAAAAAAAAAGAGAGAGAGACTTTATCTATTGTTTGGTCCATCTTCTTCTACGTCTTCCACTGAGTTCTGTGTTTAGGAATCCAAAGTTGTCGACTTTCACAAAGAACTATGCTGGGTTTTGTTGAAGATTCTGTTTTGTTGCCTTAGATTACAGTCCAAACAATGTTGAGTTTGATTCATGTCCTTGATGAGCTCGTCACTAGTCTTATGCCACTGCTTAGCATTCACTAGCCAAAACTCTGTTCTTAGTTCATCATCATCTTCTCTTGGTTACAATCGGTTTCAATCAATTTCGTTGCGGGGTAAGAGAAGAAAGAGGCTTTGGAGGTTTGCTCCCTGTGCGGAGAAGGAGGACAGTCACACGGGTAATAATAATAAGAGGAGAAGAAGCTGGTGGCAGAGGTTTTTCTTTGATGATGATGGGAATTGGCTTGGTTTGAGGGACGACGAGATTGTTGATGAGGCAGTTGAGCTTGAGAAGGATGATGAGATGTCTGATGAAGAGAAATTCGAGACTTGGAAGAGACGAGCAGAGGCCATTGTGGAGCTACGGGAAAGTCAGGAGGAGAATGGTGTTAATGATGATGATGGTGATGGTGATGGGAATGTGAGCAAGAAGTGGGAGGATTGGATTGTGGATTCAGATGATAGTTTAGTTGAGTCTTGGAGCCGAGGAGACGAGGGAAGTGAAGAGAGATCAGAGCTTGATGAGTTGAGTGTTCCTGAGAGAGGGTTGGTTAAAATGGTGAGGGATATGGTTTTAGGAGTAGAAGAGGAAGATATTCTATACGAAGACCGTGTTTTCCGTTATGCATCTTCAAAATCGGTGAGATATGTTCTTACATCTTGCAACTATAACATATGCTTCTTGTTACATGTCTTGTTGACTGGTGAATGCTTATTGTAACTCTTTGCAGGCAAAGTTTTTAGCGGTATTGATCCTCATACCATGGGCATTGGACTTTTTAGCCCATGATTATGTACTCATGCCCTTTTTAGAGAGGTGATTTTTTCATTTACTACTGTTATGTTCTCCATTTAAATTGTGTTAGTCCCCAAATTGACTGGTAGCATGTGTTCATTTCTTAAAGATATGTAAAGACTGTACCACTTGCTGCCCAGACACTTGATGTGAGACGAAGCCAGAAGCTAGAAATGGTAAAGGAACTGAATAGAGAAAAAGCTAGGTACCGTCTTGAAGTCGAGATTGGCAAAACTCCTCCTCTTTCTGATGATGATTTATGGTGGGAGTTGCGTGGTAAAGCGTAAGAGAACAGCAACTTGCGCCACAATTTTTATTTTCTTTTGATGTTAGACTGTTGCAAACTCATCTTTATATGTACACGGGAGATAGTTCATTTCCTATATCCTTTGATTTCTTTCAACAGCTTGGAGCTGCGAGAGGAGTGGAGATTAGAGAACCGGAAAGCATTTGCCAACATATGGTCTGATATGGTGTTTGGGATCTCACTGTTTGCTCTTTTGTACGCCAATCAGGGTAGAGTAAGTTTCTTATTATTTCACCAATCTACAATGACATTTCTAAGTTTTATTTCAAGCTACTATCTGTTAAGTCATTTTGTTAACATGTGGGACAAACCCTTTTCAGGTAGCCTTGTTGAAATTTACGGGATACAAAATTATAAACAACATTTCAGACACGGGAAAAGCATTTCTCATCATCCTTATCACCGACATATTCTTGGGGTAAATTTGTCCTAATCTTTGCATTAATGAAGATCATACATAACAAATGTTTTAAAGATGTTACAGTCTACTAGTAATCAGTTGTGTGTATAACTTAATGCTTCTATTTGTAGGTACCATTCTGAATCTGGATGGGAAACATTGTTAGAGATAATAATGGAACATTATGGTCTTGAAGTTGAGCAATCTACAATAACCATTTTTATCTGCCTCGTTCCAGTTGTTATCGACGCTTGTGTTAAGCTCTGGGTATCTTCTCTTCTCCTTTTGTGTCCTCTTTTTTGGCAATATTTGTATCTCCTTTTGTTTCTTCTTCTTTGCTCATAATCATCTATCTCTCTTCTGCAGCTGTTTAAGTTCCTTCCAAGACTGTCTCCGAGAGTTTCCAACATTTTCCAGGAGATGAAACGTCATTAAGTAGTTTGTATGATAACATACATTACTCTTTCTTTTTCTTGGACGACACATATATTACTTTTATCATACCCAGATCAATGATAAAATGAAATCATTCTACGAAAAAATCAAGATTATTTTTGTTTTTCATTATGAATACTTGATAATATAAATCTATGTAGCTACAAGTTTTTTTTTTTAATTATAAATTTATGAAATGTTACAATATCTTTGAAGATGACAATAAAACAATATTTTACCAATCTTTGTATATATAGTTATGATTTCAATAACGTAACAATTATCCAAAAATATATATAGAAGAAGATACAAATACATGTGAAAGTTTCAAACAATTTTTTCAATAAAAATAAACAATAAATTATTATGTTTTAAAAATTGATAGACACACTTCATATATATTACAATATATATCAATTTAGAATTGAAAACAAAATATTTATAAAAATAAATGAAAACAAAAACCCGCGCAATATTAATTTAAGCGTTCCTATAAATTGTGCTTCACGCAATGTTTTACAAAGGAATGAACTGGGTGATGTGTTTTTTGGTATATGGTAATGGATTCGATATGATGCTCTCATCATTTTCCTTTTTCATTTTTTTTCTGGTTTCCACTTTTATTTATTTTTCAAAAATTGATCTCATTTCCCTTTTTAGTCTTTTTGTAACGTAGTTATTGTGTGTTTAAGTTCTTTATGACTGATTGTAAGTGATATGTTATAAATCTATAATTTTATTAAAAACTAGTTTTATTGAACATTCTTTTTAGTTTTTAAAGAACAGAACTTATCCGTAAATTATAAAGACCACAAAATAATTAGAAATTAGATTAGACAAATAATGAGCTATAAGCTAAATAATAATTCGTGAATGACAACCATACTTATCAGTAGACTAATAAATATTCTGTAAAATAAAGAATACCTAATAATCATGGATGTTTAATAGCATGTGTAAGTGGAGCGGTTAGGGTCCCAAATATAAAAAAGTAAAAATAAGAAAAAAAATAAGGAAAAAATAAGGAAAAAATAATGAAAAATTAAGAATTTTTAAGAAATATTTAGACAAATTATGATAATTTTTTTTAAAAAAAAATTAGATATATTGATACGTTAGAACTTATAATTTTTAAAGAAACATAAACATAGTTATAAATGTTTTTTAAAAATCATTAAATCATAAATATATCATTAACTTTTTTGAACATGGTCTAAAATTTATTTGAGACGGCCCTGCTAATAATTGTGGTCTGAAATTCAATTTTTGTTTTGTAATTTTGGCAGTGTTCCAGAATCAAATTCTAAAATATATGTCATAACTATCTTTTTTTCTTTATCAACCATAACTATCTTGTGTCAATTATATTATAACTACCCGTTTAAATATTTCCATATGCTAGAAATGTTATTTGTGCCACACACCAATTTTTTTTCTGGGTCCGCCCCTGGTTATATCCAAACCATTAAAACCTCCACTTGAGTTCTCTGTTGCTATGACACAAACCGTTCTTCAGCTTTATTCAGTTTCATACACATCAAATAAACATAGGTTCCTATTTTTATCATTCATCTTGATTTTTATTTTATTTTTTGTTGTATTGTCGGTGACAGAATTGAGAGAACATGGTCTGTGGGCTCTCGCTACAGTACTTTGTCATGTACACAATAAACAAACCTACAAAAGAAACCCTATGTGTTTATGCATACTTGTGAAGTTATAATCTTATCTTAAACATGTTAAGTTCATCAATGCTATGCTTATATCTAGAATAGGACAATATATCCAATAATTTCGGTAACAAAAATTGCAAAAGTAGTGAAATAATTATGTCTAGTCACCTTTTGACTTGCCTTTGGCTTTTTGGATGGTTGATTTGATGATTAAGATTAAGATTCAGATTTAAGAGCTCAAACTTCCTTCCACACAAAACTATCATGCCTTTGTTGACTCAAGACACTTTTTCTCTCTTTTGGTCCAAGCACAATCTTTTAAAAGCTGACCATGCAAAATGTATAAGACCATCTTTTAAAAGCTGACCATGCAAAATGTAAAAGAAAATAGAAAGTATCTATTCTATTAAAATAGAGTCACTTTTTAATCTACCTATAAGTAGTCTACTAATTAGGATCATTTATCTACAATCCTAACAAATATGAATATCATGTATAATAATATAAATTTATTTTATTTATTCCTTAAAAATAGCATCTACTTTTATTGGTTATTTATATTTGTACTGATTTTTTTTGTGTTACATAATAAATGATTTTTTTTAAAAGATCATATTAAATAGATTACTTAATATATTCTAAATATCTAAAAATAGTAACATCATCTAAATATATGGTAAAATATAATTTCATTTGAAATTTCAATTATAAAATTTTTATCCAAAAATAATATATAATATATATATATATATATATATCTTAATTAAATTTGTGGTTTTACAAAATAATAATATATTCGCGCAGACGCGCGGGTCAAAGTCTAGTGGATCCTTAATTTGAGATTCTGTGATCGATTTTAAGCGAGGTTATAGAAAACACGTGTCAGCATAAGAGGTAAAGTATTTTTTTTTTCTATTTTCTTTTGTCTTTCTTTTTCTTCTCTCGGTCTCCTCTCACTTCGTTCTCTGTTCTCCAGAAGGAACGAACCATTGAACGATCGAAACCCACGACCGAGGCCTCCACCACCGATCCTC